AAATATGAAAGGGAGGTTAAAAGTCATAAAGAACAGGATAAGAAAGTTTCATATGCACCTCACAGCCACTAGAGGGGAAAATTAAAGAATATGGAAAGCAAAATTTGAAGAGATTCAAGAAAATTTCTAGGGCATTTGGAAGATCTGTCTAGCAGACTCTTCCAGTTATCTGGTATTGTTTTCCCCTCATCAGATGATCCTCACTGGGGTCCTAGAGTGGGCAGTGTCGGTATTGCCCGTTGGTTTGTCAGAAATGCAGATTCTCAGCTCCATCTAAGATCTACTGAATCACAAACCCAGAAGTAGGGTTTGGCAATCTGTTTTTTTTTTTGTTTTGTTTTGTTTTTTAAATTTCAGTGATTCTGATGAATGCTTATGTTTGATAACTACTGTTCCATGACAACAGAGATCATAGTTTCAGTTGGGCACATGGCTCCCTAGTATCTAGATGTGTGACTAAGTTCAGTTCAGTGGGGTGGATATAGAAGGAAATTTTATGTAGCAGTTTCTGGAAACTTCTTTTGGCATAGTCTTCTCACTGCTTAGGATATAGAGGTACCATGAAATTGAGGCTGTGAGCAGCAGAGTAACTTGACTTTTATGTAAGAGAAATAAACTTTCAACTTGTATAAGGTCCCTTCTGGGTAGGTTTTCTGCTGTAGCTACATCTAATCCTAACTGATACAGGTCTTCAGACTGAAATATACTGAGTTCTACATAAAAATCTACCACTCAACAAAACTGCAAAGTAACCAAGGAGAGGAGACAGATTATTTAGAAAGAAACAATGAAATTAACACAGGCGTGAAAAGCTGTGAGAAAAACTTAGAGTAGGGCCAGCAAATGATAATCCTGGGCCAAGTCTGTCCCAGTGTCTGTTTTCATATTTGGTTTTATTGGAATACAACCAGGTTCACTTATTTGTGTTTTCTGTGATTGCTTTTGCGCTGGAATGGCAAAGGTGCAAACCCTAAAATATTTACCATCTGGCTCTTCACAGAAAAATGTTTGCCAACCTCTGACTTGGAGGATATCTCCCTGGGTGAAATCCCAGGGTTTTCCTCTGTCCTCGTGGGGGATGCCCAGGATCACGTTGGTGATGGTCACAGATCTGAGGAACTTGAAAGAATTTAACTTCTCCCTCTGTCGGGCATCCACGTCAGCACCGGGACACAGATCCTGTAGCCTGGAGGGGACCAATTCTGCCACTCCGCCAGCCAGGGCATCTGGGTCTTGATGGTGGGTTCAGGTCCAGGATTCTTGTCCAGAGTGCCCAGCACCTCCTTGCCTTGCCTTAACTGTGACCTTCCTTCCAGGCCGGTGCTTTCCAGCGGGAGGCCTCGTCAGGGCCCCCAGCCCTCGGGCCAATGGTAACTGACAAAGCAGAACGTAGAAAGCTGAAACCTTCATGCTTGAGAACCAGGGTAGGGGGGAAAGCAGCCAGAACAAGATGATCTACACCAAAGATGGCTAGAAAGGGGGCCAGGGGCACTGAGGCAGGAGGGATGGGGCCCGATGTACAAATACTGGTCAGAAGTGTGTACAAGGAGCAGTGAGATGCCCAGCACCCCTCCCCAGCTGCTCCACGCTAGCTGGTGGCCCCCTTCCTCCGTGCCTGTAGGCAGGGGTTAGCCCCAGGGTGCTGAGCCAGAGAGGCGCTGGACCTAGGGTGAGGCCAAGAAAGGCTGGGAGTGAGGTGACTTCTGAAGACGGGGATTAAGAGAGAGCAACACATCCAAAGTGAAGCCTTTTCAAACTAGCAACAACAAATGCTGGCGAGGATGTGGAGGAAAAGGAACTCTTCTGCACTGCTGGTGGGAGTGCAGACTGGCCCAACCACTGTGGAGAGCTGTGTGGAGATTTCTGGACCTACTAAACATAGAGCTTCCATAGGATCCAGCAATTCCACTCCTAGGTATTTACCCAAAGGACACAGAAACATCCATTCCAAAGAGCACCTGCACCCCTATGTTTATAGCAGCACTGTTTACAATAGCTAAGCCTTGGAAACAGCCCAAATGCCCAAAAATAGATGCCTGGATCAAGAAGATGGGGTCCATATACACCATGGAATATTACTCAGCATTCAAAAAGATAAACACATGCCATTTGCAGCAACATGGATGGCGCTGGAAGGGATCATGCTCAGCGAAATAAGCCAGAAAGAAAAAGAAAAACACCGGATGGTCTCACTCATAGCAGGAATCTAGAAAACCTAAATAAGGGACCAGGAAAATGAATAACTATAAGAAAGAAAATATCAAAATCAACAAACAACTATGAACAAGAGACACTCTATGGGGGGTAGGGGGTGGGGAGGGGAGGGATTGGGGTCAAAATAAGGGGGTTGCAATTGTATGGGGAATATAAAAATAAAATTTATTTAAAAAAATAAGAAATAACTGTGCCTTCATATGATATATTGTTAGACAAAAACTGAATTTGTAATTAATCAAGAGTAAAATGCAGAATATACAATAGAATAAAGAATGGAAATATAAAAAAAAAAAGTCAAGCCTTTTCTCTCTTTTCTCACGCAGCTCTCAGAACACCAGCCTGCGGGCTCACCCTCCTGGATAGTAGGCTGGAAGATTCTTAAGGCAGGAGAGAAAAAACAAACTTAGAGATTCTGCTATTTGGGGGCCATGCAATGAAAAATCTGGTCTCTCCTCAGTCCAGGAGGCCCGCACGGCACACAGGACCGCCAGTCAGCTGAACACGAAACGTGCTCCGTCTTTATTGTTCTCCCTGGTCTTGAAAGAAATTTATACTTGTTTTTTTTAAATGCACATTATTTAGCAATCTGTCAAGTAGAAGATAAAGATTTCCCAATAGTCCCCACACCCCCCAAGGCATGTTTTCAAGCATTTTTCTGTTTAAGTATAATAGTTCCCACTTCCATTCCCATCACGAAGGCCGGCGCATCCCTCACCCAGGGGCCAATCTCCAAGCAGCCCGGAGCTCGCACCGCGCGTCCTCGGTGCTGGGGCCTGGCTGTCATTGTCAGCACGCCGTTTCCACAGGGGGCTGCCGGTGAGCTAGTCAGCAGATGGTGCTCCGCCGGTGACGAGAGAGCGGAAGAGACGGTGGGCTGCTTCTCAGGGCGGGGCCCCAAGGGTGCCAGCCTCCCTTCCGCTCACAGCCCGTCGGGGGGAACGTGGTGTCTGCCCATGCCCACCTGCAAGGGAGCGTGCGGGCATGGGTTTCCGCAGCGTGCGCTGGGCCAGGAGGAGCCCAGCTAGACACTCCGGGGTTCTCGGGAAGGCGGAAGGAAGGATGGAATGAATGTCAAGGTGCAATGAATGTCAAGAATGAAGACTGACCCGAAGAAGAACGAAGGTCTCCTGCCCCCGTGCCCCTGCCAGTGCCTGCCTGTGCTTTCTCCTTTCCTAATAACGCTGGGCTTTTCAAATGACGAAGAAGAGAGGAAAAACCAAAAACCAAAAGCGACCATCGAGAGACAGCGAGCAGTCTCTGCACAGAAGGTGTTTTGAAAACATTTTAAAACCCGTTTAGTTCCAGAATCGAGGCATCTACACACATTCAGTGTCTTAATTTGAGAGGAGAGTCAAAGATCACCCGTTGTGAGAAACCTCTAGATGGAGATCAAATGGACACATTAAAAAAGTGGATTTGGACAAAACAGGCAGATAACGTAAGGAGTAGAAGAGAAATTTAAAGACAGAAATAGCTACGATGTCGCACTTAGGAAGAGAATACAGGATGCTGCTTAAAAAGTATTCAGGAAAGAGAAAGTAGTTCTTAGAAATTAAATATGTAAATGCAGAAAAACGTTCGGAGGGTAGAGGAAAAAGGTGAGAAAATTAATCAGGAAAGAGAAAACAGAAAATAAAGGATAAGAAAATTATAAAAGCCATCCAGGAGGCCCCACAGCCAGCTAACCATTTCTGGAATGAAAGAGCAAAGGAAATGAAGAAGAGAGAATTGTCCAGAAGGTAAGACCGGGGCCTCCCTGGTGGCACAAGGTGTTAGGTCACAGCACTGTGAGGCGTCCACAGTCACCGCAGCACGGGTTCCGTTCCCGGCCGGGAGGTGACCCCGTGGCGCGGCAGACCCCTCCTGTCTCCCCGCGGCTCCCCTCAGCAGTGGGTGTCAGTGGATCCGCCTCTTCTGCTCCCCGCTCTGTCTCTGGGGAATCCTCTCACCCCCCACCTCTGGCCTGCACCCCAGCTCTTGTGTGCATAACTAAATAAAGTAAATCTTAAAAAGAAAAAAAGGTAAGACCGTGTCCCAGAACTGAAGGACAATCACTTCCACCCTCACCACCAGCCCAACAAAAGCCCCTGGGCACGTGATGAAATAATACCAGGCGCTAAGTCTGGGGGCTCTGGGGGCGCGGGGGGCGCGGCACAGGAACAGCCTCTCCCCAAAGGCCGGGTGGCCGCGGAAAGGGAAGGGAACGTGAGGGAGGGACGGGAGAGGGAAGAGGCGTCGAGGGCCCAGGCAGGGCTCCCGGGCAGCCAAGGAGGGCGAAGCAGCCACCAGGTGCGAGGGTTTTCTCTTTCAAGGGTCTTCTGACTTCCCGGGACAGGAGGGAGACCCCGCACTAAAAGGCAGGGGTGTGAGGCAAGAGGATCCCCTGGGGTGTGGGGAGCAGGGCCATGGGCAGGGGGGCAGCGCGCAGCCCCAGAAGAGCCCTCCAGGGGGCGGGGGCAGATGCGGGGCACGGCCTGCCCCGCCGGCCAGGACAGGGTCAGCGTTTCCTCACGTTGCCTCCAGCCAACTGCGGGAAGGAGCAGGGCCCGCGGGAGAGCGGGCGGGGCCGAGAAATCTGGGCAGATAAAAACAGGCGATTCTTTGACTCCCCCCAAAATTGCCCGGAGTCGAGCGACGGCGCGGGAGCGGGCGGCGCCGCGCGAAGAGAACCGCCCCCCTGCGTGAAGGGGCGAGCAGGGAAAGGCCTCTTTGTGCTGGTCCCTGAACAGCGAAGCGCCCTCGCCCCACAGCCCGCGGGCAGCGAGCGCCGGCCGTGCACACACCCCGGGGCGGCGCGGCCAGCTCGCTCGGGTCGCCACAGGCCGCGCGCTGCCGCCCGCAAGGATAAATGTGAACGTCGGGTGACCCGGCGCGGCAGCCCGCGGGGCCGGCACCGTCCCGACCGCCGGGGGGCGCGGAGGCGAGGTCCCCCCGGGGGCGGCCGTGGGAGGGTCCGCGCCGGGTGCGGGGCCGGGTGCGGGGCCCCCGCGCCTCCCGCGGCGGGGCCGAGGCCGCGCGCTTCCGAGCGGCCTTTGGGCCGGGCCGGCGGTGTCCTTCCAGGCGCCCTTGTCTCCGCTCCGTCCGGAAGGGGAGCAGAGCGGGGCCCGCGCGCCCGGTTTCTGCCCGGGCGGGCGCGGGGGGCGTCTCGGCGTCCTGGGCGGACGGGACGCCCCGCACGGCTGCGCGCCGGGCGGCAGGTGCGCTGGCCCGGCCGGGTCGCCCCTGCCGTCCCCCGGGAGGTCCCGCTCGGGGCACCGACCCCCAAACTAAGGGACCAGGAAACGCCCGGAAAGCAGCACACGCGGGCCCCAGACGGGGCCGTCAGTCGCGAGACCGCGTTTGCCCCCAGGGCGCCTCGGGCCGCGCGGCCTGACGGCTGAGCAGGCCCCGGGCGTCTCCGCCGTTCTCGGCCGCACAAAGCCCGGCCGGGGGCGTCCAGCCCGCGCCTCCGCGGGCGTGGGGGCGCCTCGCGAGCCCCGAGAAGGGGCGCGGGGCGCACGGGGCCCCGACGGGCCTCGCCGCGGCGGGAGGCGGGGGCTGGGGGCCCGAGGGCGTGTGGGGGGCCCCGGGCCGGGCGGGGTCTCGGGGCCGCGCGAGTCGGAGCGCGCGGAGACCGGGCGCGACGGGAGCCGCTCGTTCCGGGGCGGCCGGAGCCGCTGGTCGGCGGGCCCCGCGGGGAGGCAGCGCCGGGGCGGGGCCGGCGGGGCCGGGCCGGGGTGCTCGCCCTTCCAGTGCGCGTCCCCTGCGGGCGGGACGCGGCGGTTGCAGCTCCGCGCCCGAGGGACCGTCGGTCCCGGGGCCTGGACGTCCCGGCCGTGGCGCCTCCCTGACTCCCCGGCGCCCGCGGGGCTGCGCCGACCCGGGCCGCATCGTGGGCCGCGGGCCGCGGCGCGGGGTTCCGCCCCGGGCGCCGGGGCGGGGCGGGGCCTTCGGGGGCGGGGCCTTCGGGACGGGGGTCGACGGGGCGGGGCGGGGCCGGCGGGACGGGACGGGGCCTGCCGGACGGGGCGGGGCCTGCGGGGCGGGGCGGGGCGGCGGGCGCGCGGGGGCGGGGCCTGCGGGACGGGGCGGGGCGGCGGCGGCGGGCGCGCGGGGGCGGGGCCTGCGGGACGGGGCGGGGCGGCGGCGGCGGGCGCGGGGGGCGGGGCTTGCGGGACGGGGCGGGGCCTGCGGGGCGGGGGCGGGCCTGGGCGCGCTCCCGGCCGCGCGCGGGCGGTGGGGCCGCGGCGGCTCCTCGGCCGGGTCGCGCCGGAGGGAGGACGGGCGTCGGGCGGCGGCCGCGGACGGACGGGCGGGCGCGCGGCGGGGCCTCCGGGCGGCCGAGCCCGCGCCATGGCCGCCTCGCCGGGCTCCGGCGGCGCCAACCCGCGCAAGTTCAGCGAGAAGATCGCGCTGCACACGCAGCGGCAGGCCGAGGAGACGCGGGCCTTCGAGCAGCTCATGACCGACCTCACCCTGTCGCGGGTGAGGCCCGGGCGGGCGGGCGGGGCGGGGTGCGGGCGGCTCGGGGCGCGCTGCGGGCCCGGCCCGGCGGGCGCGGACGGGGCCGGCGCTGACCTTGAGGCCGCGGGGCGGGGCGGGGCGGGGCGGGCGGGGGGCGGCGGCGCGGCCGCTCGGGCGCCCGGTGCGGGCCCGCGGACCGCGCAGGCCCCGCTTCCTGCCGCCGTCTGCCGCGCCGCCCCGCCTCGCGCCCAGGCCCGGCGCCCCGCGGGCCTCCGAGGCCGCCCGCCCGCCCGCCCGCGCCACCTGCCAGGCCCGCAGGTCGGCCGTTCCGTCGGCGCCGCGGGGCACAAGGGGGCGTTTCTTCCATCCACGCGCCACGTTTCCGTCGCGCGGGGAGAGAGACCGAGAGCGACGCGGCTCCGGGTTTCCAGAACGGCCCCCGCAGCCGCGGCTTCCCTGCCCCGGCACTTGCGCGGCGACCTCCGCCCGGTTCAGGGAGCCGCGGGCGGCCAGGCCGCGCCGAGCAGACGTCGGGGACGGGCCGACGGGCCGAGCGGTGCCGCTGGGGCGCGGAAGTTGTCGGGGCGCGAGCCCATGCGCTCGCCCGGAGCCGGCCTCTCGTTCAGACGAGACCAGAGTCACGCAGCGGCTCCTCCTGGGGCAAGACGTGTTCGCGGGTCCTGCCGTGAGGTGAACTTACCCCAGGCCAGTGCGGTCAGACATCCACCTGTACCTAAATAACGCCCTTTGCTGACAGCCCCGCTGCAGCCAGAAACTGAAACCGTGCGCAGGATAACCCCAAAGTTGCAAGTGAGATAAGTTCAAATTAACATTAACTTAACATGGCCGTGGCGGGTGTTGCGCCGAACTTCATGGACGCTGCTGTGTGAGCATGGCGCTGCCCACTTAAGCTCAGGTTCCTTGAGGTTAGCCGGCCTGGTCAGCTGCGGCCCAGGTGATAACTCAGTTTGGCCCCCACTTTTCTCTTGATTGCTGCAAAATTAGGTCATTTGACCCTTCGCCTGGTACAGGGCATCCTTTTCATATTAATCCTGCCAGTGTCCTTTCTCCTCAGCAGGTTGCAATAAAGTAATAGTACTTGGCTCCACTGTGCTCAGAAATACCAAAGCAAATGTTCACACTGCATTTGCCTAAATTATTTGCTTATTTATTTTTAAATGTTTAGGTTATTTTCATAATGAAATCACAAAACTAAAGCACTTCTCGTGGAGCACGCTCACAGAGACCCCCAAACATCTGGCGGTGGCCTCCACGGGCCCAGAGTTCTGTGCGAGGAGAGTCCATGTGGCTCGCCACTGGTAACCAGACTGCGGACTTGCTGACTTTGTGTGGCCAGCCGAGGCCGACGTGCTCCTCCGTAGGACAGACAGCCTCATGGATCTGCTCTTTTCTCTCCGAGACTTTCTGCGTTGGACTTCAAGTCCTTTACATAATCATACCTCACCCCTCAGAGTTGGAGTTAAGTCCTGCTTGCCTAGTAGACTAGACTGTGGAGAATTTTTCACTCTAGCTTGAGGGTCTTGTTTCAAAGATCTCATTAATTTGTGTGCCGGGGGTGAGGATGGACCCTGGGGACGTAGTACGTGAGCAAATCACAGTCTCTGGTGGAGTTTAATATTTAATGGGGAGGACATTCATTTAACAAGGGCATGTTTTGATGACTATTACAAAGGGGGAGTCAGATGGAACTCTGGGCATGCGTGCCAGGGAGCCCTGCCCTCTTCGGGTGCCCTACAGGATAAGGGGGTGCGGGCAGGCCCTGTGAGGGTGAATGGAGAACATAGGGAACTGGCTCAAGAAAGGAATGAGAAGGGTGATTTGATTTGATGTTTGCAGGGATCATATCGGAGAGACAAGATTTGGGACTTGAACCTATGGACAGTGCAGCCATAGGGGGTTGTGCCAGGGGGTATTAACATTTTTGTTTTAAAGATTTATTTATTTATTTATACAAGCACTGGGTACAGTCAGAAGCGCAGGAGGGTGAGAGAATTCACCAGAGCCGGAGCAGGGAGCAGAGCAGGCAGACTGACGAAGTACACTGCTGAGGGGAGCAGCGGGCGGCAGGAGAGGGCTGCGCGCCATGTGGGACCCTCACCCTGTGACCTGGCCCGGGGAGGGGATATTAACATTTTAAAAGAATACCTCATGCCCCAGAATGGCCGGTAGAGCAGAGGAGGAGGTGGCAGAGAAGTTGCTGGGAGATACGAGTACTAGCCCTGGCGGTGAAATGATGGCCCTATCCAGGGCGGCAGCAACAAGGAGCAAGAGATGGCAAGATGGACCTTAGGAAGAAGGAGGGACCAGGCATCGTGAAAGGAGGAGGGAGATGGGAGACTCAAGGATGAACCCAGCTTTCAGACTTGAGCCATTTCAGGGTGTCTTCCACGAAGAGGGAACACTGGCCCGGAGCAAGCAGACGCTTCAGTGTCGGAGGTGATGAGCGAGCTGGTGCCTGTGAGGCGCTGGAACCGAGGCGGGCCCACTCCCAAGGGGTTATTCAGCGCTCAGGGCGTCTAGGCTGGTGGTGGAAACATGCGGGTCCTTGAGGTGCACTGAAAGAGCTGATTTGCCTGCCTAGGAAGAATTGCAAGAGGATGTGTTGCAAATTGGTGGCCTAATTCTATTTTAGCTTTCTGACATTTTTGTTGGGGGGGGGGCACAAATGTTGCTTTTATTGATCACAGACCACAGTGAATATTGAGATTTTACATTAAGATCTGGACTCTGGCTTCTTTTCGAAAATGAGATCGTTTACCAGCACTCACCCTACATTTCTGCATGGGAGCCGTTGCCGGCGTGGAACAGCAGCTGCTCCCCGTGGGCAGGGAGTGTGTGTGTTCTTTGGCTTGTCACAGTCCCCACCTCTTCCTGTGGGGTTCCTCTCAGTGATTCCAGCCTGTGTCACGGACTCCTTACCCTCCTTCCTTGGCTCCTGTGAGCTTTTGTGTTTGTGATCCCTGCTATGGCGTGAAACCTGAAGAGGCGTAGGAGCCCTGGAAGCTCCACGATCCTCAGGGGAGGTAGACGCCGTAAACAGGCTGAGGAGCAGCTAGAAAGGCAGGAGAGAAGCAGGGATTGTTGAGAGAAGGGAATGTCACCAGCTGCACCCAGTGCCGCTGGCTTGACCTGGCACGTAAGGATGTGTCCTTTGGCCTAGTCGTGTGGAAGTCCTTGGGGACCTTGTTGAGAGCCACTGTATTTATGGGGTGCTGGTTAGAAGGGAAGTTGTGAGGCACTGAGGGCTGGATGGGAGGAAGTGGAGACAGGGTTGAGAACTTGCACAAGAAGTTCAACTTGTAGTGTTGAGAATCCACAGGATAAACTCAGCACATCAATCTGGTGTTAATTTGGCTTGAATGTTTGGGAAAGACCATTATTTTTCAATGAAAAACACATACTTGGTTGTGAAGTGGTGCGGGCTCTGAGAGAGCGGTAGACAGGAGGCTTAGGCAGGTCGGATCTGGGCTAACTACTGAGTGCTCTTTGCGGGGCACTGAGCCTGTCCTTACAGTCATCATTTCCTCGTTCTCACAATGACCCTCTGGAATGTATATCTAGAATATTCCTCACTTTGCAGGTGAGCAAACTGAGGCTCGACAGGTAAGTTTATATGGCCCGCCAGTAGCGGAGCCGGCCGTTGAAAGTGGCTGTCATGTCACGTCTGCACACTCAGCTGCATTCCTTTTTTCCCATGAGAATGTCCCATTGTACCAGCAGCACTTTTTGAAAACACTTTTCTTTCCCCCATTGAATTGCTGTGACATGTTTGTCAAAAATCAGTTAGCCTTATATGTGTGAGTCGTTTTGGGCCTCTCTTTTGTTCCATTGACTGTCCATCTCTTTTTTGGACAATAGCACGTGATCGGGGTTACTGTGGCCTTGTAAGTCAGTAGCAAGATACCTTAAGTCTTCCAGTTTTGCTTTTTAAAAAATAAATCCTTTGGCTGCTGCCGGGGTTGTTCTCATATAGAATGATCTTGTCGGTTTCTGTAAAAAGTCCTGCTGGGGCTTCATTTGGGATCATGGTGACCACTACGAGACTTTTTAAAAAAGGAATTAGTGAGGCTTGGATCTCATTTCATGTAGTCGTTGAAGGAAATTACACTAAAATGTATGGCTGGAGGCTAAAGGTTACTAACTTGAGTTACAGGTGAGGCAGGTATAGAAAATGGGCGGAGGGGGCTGGAAAAATGAAAAGTGGTAGTTGATCTGGGACCATGGTGAAGGGATAATAGGGCACACTGAGGACTCGGGCAAACGGGAGAACCAAGGCCTCATCTCAGCTGTGCCTGCATTGTTGCCGCACAAGAAAAATTGGGTTCCCTGTCGTCTGATCATTCAGACAAGAGAAGTTGGAAATCCAGGTCTGTATGCAGACTTCCAATTCTGAAATTAAAACCAGAATAGATCAGTCTCACACAGGTTATACAGAACTCTTTAGACTAAACATGCCTGTGGCCTGCCATGGGTGACCTCTGCCTTCAGCTAATCATTTCCTTGGTCCTCATTTTCACCATCTGCAAGAGTGATGGTGTTGAAGACAGTCTCTGATGTTCTTCCTTGCTCAGTGACTCCAGAATTCAAAATATCAGAATTACCCAAGGGTTGAGGAATAAGTTGAAAATAGTAGCAATAATGGTGATATTTCTAGAAGCTGCCCAGAGCTCTTACATTTTACACACCACTGTCGTGTCTGTTTTCTCTTTCAATCATCACGTCGTCTTTGGGAAGCTGAGGTAGACGGCAGAATGACTGCCAGCTGCTGGGGCCTTCGGGTCGCTGTTAGCTTTTCCGGCTCCAAATCCAATGCCCCTTGCTGTAGCGCAGCAGCCCCCATGGGTGCTGCGGGCTGGCCCGGAGGGAGCAGATTTGGGAGACTGAACAGGCCTTAGGCTCCGTTGAAGGCTGAGTTTGGTCGAAATGTCAAGGCTTTGGGGTCGGAGTCGAAACCTCTGTGAGGACTCTCCGAAGGCAGGGACGTTGGCGCGTGTCCATTTCAGCGAGCCAGCGCCTGGCACAGACCTGCCACGTAAGGCGAGTGAATGGATAGATAGATGGCAGGAGGAATCCAAGACTGTAGATCAAGGGGCCGAGATGCTTGCCTGGGGAATTTCAAGGATAGCGCCTTATAAATGCTTTGAGAATGTTAAGAGCAGAAGCCGAGACTATTCTTGTAGTTCAGCGGCTGGAGGGGAAAAGCCCACTGCACTCCCCTCTCACTTGACCCTCAGCTCTGGGTTTTGATTGATAGATTTTAACCATCTCTCGGTGCAGCATGTTTGAGACATCAGATACGATTGTGGAAGGAAGTTAAGGCCACCCAAGTTTTCTGTATGCTTCCCAAACAGATGCAAGTCGTTTTCTTTTGGAGACGCGCTTTGAGATACAGAATGTCTGGGGTTTCGGTTGGCGGTGCCGTGGGTCGCTGAGGGCCAGGTGACATGAATCCAGGTTGGGCGTAAGTTGGTAATTGTGGAAGCTGGAAGCTGGATAGATGGCGTTTCATTTCACGGATCTCTGCTTTGTATAGATTTGAAATTTTTCGTAAGTATAAAAACAGCAGTCAGAGAGCTCCATGGGTTCGGCCTTGCTTCACTTTTCCCTGAGCTTGTGAATATGTGATCGTGGAGGGAGGAATTGAACGAAGGAAAAGAACATGGAGAAATAAGAACGTGGGCTTTGATGCGCTGGCCGTGGCCAGGCCTTCTCGAGCCATGTGACCCTGGGCAGGGCTCTGAGCTTCCCCGGCTCTGGGGGAGCACGGCTCTGCGTCAGTGTTTGTGGGGCGGGGTAGGATGAAAGTGTGGGTGGCCGGCATCCGGCTCATCCTGGGGCTCTGGTCTGATAGTGAGGTCTGAGGAAATAATTCAGAAGAAGAAATTATGTAGCCATGAAACATGATTCCGTAATACCAGAGAGAGGACTCGTGACGTAAGCGTGCAGACCCAGCCGTGTTGTGGGTGCAGCCGCGCAGGCAGCACACGTAACTGCGAGTGGCGCTGGGGAGGGGCGTGAGGGGAGGAGCAGGCAGCGTGTTCGGGCTGTCGGTAGTGGCTTCATTGTCTTTTCTTGCTGTTGAAAGTTGCCTGTGCGCCCACACGGAGCCGCCCGCAGTCCTTGCAGGAGTACCTCCCTGTCCTGGTGCCAGGGGCGTGTGGAACGTGGGTCAATTCTTTCCAAAAATAGGCTAATCAAAACCCAGAAAGCACCAGAAACCCGAAGGTTGTAAGCAGACTAGAGACTGAAGCCAAGACTTCCACTCTTGAACCATTGCACTGCACAGTGCTGCTGCCCCTTGCAGGTCTGGGCTGTCACCTCTCAGCTGTCTTGAATTCTCTGTTTCCAGGTTCAATTCCAGAAGCTTCAGCAGCTGCGCCTTACTCAGTACCACGGAGGATCCTTGCCCAACGTGAGCCAGCTCCGCAGCAGCGCGCCTGAGTTCCAGGTACGGGCTTTTTGGGCTGAGCGGAGCATAAAGCACTGGCAGCGATTACCCATAGCGCGCGTGGGAGGAGAGGCCGGGCCTGGGCGCAGCGCGCGTCCCGCAGGCCGGCTTTGTTTGCTCCTCTGGTTTCTGCAGCCTTGAGAGCGCGTTGTCTCGCCAAGGGCCTGAGGCAGCAGTGAGGCCAGCCGCGTGTGTAGTGTAACTTCTCCAGCAGCCACTTCACGGGAAAAGAAACAGGAGGAATTAATTTTAATGCTATTTAAATAAAAAATAATTACTTATGTATCCTAAATATGATCATTTCAACACATAATCAATATAAAAAGCTTAACGACATGGTTTACTTTTTTTTTTTTTTTTTGCTGTCTTTGAAAAATGATGTGTTTTTACGCTGAAAACACACCTCGATTGGTCGAGCCCGGCCTCCTCGCCTCCCGGCCGATCTCCGCCCGGCGGTGTGGGGGAGCTGAGGCGGAGCTGAGGCGGAGCTAGCGGCCTATTGTGTTGAGGTTAGTGCGGGGTGATGGGACATTTTAATCATTCTTATCATTCTAGAACCTTCTGCAGAATGTGTGGAATTGGTATTTCAGACCGTGGGATGGTGCTATTGTGAAGATTCCAGTTAGACTTTCTTGGATAGCTGTGCCCCTGGAGAAGGAGGGGCCTGTTTGTTCCAGGGACACATTTAAGGTTTGGTTTAAAGTTGAGATACGAGCTTTAAGAGGAAGAGCACTTGATTTGCCTTGTGCCTCTCCACCTCAAAAGTACTGTCCTCGTTCTTTGTTGTAAACACTGGACTCATATTGGTCGAGGACGTCCAGTGAAGCAAAAGTGCTGCGGAGTCGGCGACGTCTGTTTGAGAGTGCTGGCAGGAAGTCTGGACTAGGAAGGTGACTAGAGAAAATACTACAGGGACAGGTGCCCTGTCAACCTGGAATCCTGTCTTTAATATGACACCACTACCACCCCTTGGGGCGGCCTCCTGTGCCACAGGCTGCCTTGCATGCTGGCCTGTTGGACACCAAGGGTCCAGACAGAGCAGACCTCTGCTTCCTGCTGGCGTCACGCGTTAGGAGACAGCACCATTGGGGTTGCGGGGGCTGTGAAGGGGCTGCTGGGGCTGCGATCCTTACACTGTGCTACTTCGCAGTTCACGCTGGAGGAACAGAGCCTCCTCTGCGGTCCTCACCCGCTGCCCTTGATCTTGCCAGAGCTCTTCTTTGAGTCCTCTTTTCATTTGAAACAATCACAAACTTACAGAAACGTTGGGAGTACAGTACAAGTATTTTCCCCTTGAAAAGCTGCTGACCTCTTGCCCTATCACTCTAAAATACTTCGCTGTGCGTTTGCTACAAGCAAGGACACTGCTCTCCGTAACTGGACCCGAGCCGTCAGGGTCAGGACATCAGCGGGCACACGCGGCCGCCGACCCTCAGGCCCGGCCGGGTCTCCCCAGGTGAGGCCGCCCCGGCCTCTGCCACGGGCCCCGGTCTGAGTCACGTGCGTTACTGTCTTTAGTCTCCTTGGTCTGGGGCCATTTCTTAGTCTTTCATTTTTGACATTGACGAGATTAGGGTTGGCGTTTATGATCACGCTGCTCGTGAAGACTGCAGGCCGTTCGTTTCGTAGATACCCCAGTCGGAGTTCGCTCTTCGGGTCAGGTCACGCCTCCGGGCAGGAGCAGCACAGCGTCCCCGCAGCTGTCACGTGGTGGCCGCTCCCCGGTCCTGTTGCCAACGACGCCCTTGTCTTTAGTTAGAAATGAACGTTCCTTCCGAAAGGGCGCGCACTCCCGGTGAGCGCGGCGGGTTCGGAGGAGGTCGCCCGGTGACATCCACTTCCACCTTGCTTAAGGGGTGTCCGTCAGGCTTCTCGGAGTGATCCTCCCCCTGTGTGATCGGCACATGCTGTGCGAGGAGCTGCTTTGTCCTGCGCCTCACCAGGCTGTCAGTTCACACCTTTATTTCTCTATGGTTTGTAGTTTCTTGTTTCCTCCGGTGGGCTGCAGCCTGTAAGTGGTGCTTGTGCTCTGACGTTCACAGTATCTGATTGGTCAGTAGGCGCTCCTTTCCCAGGACCCCTGACAAACTGAGGAAAAAAGGGAATCCTAGAAGTATAGGGTTTTTTAAAAATAGGCATTTTGGGGGTGTAATTACTACAGTACATGGACCTTCTTTATTTTGTTTTTTTTCTTTAAAGATTTATTTATGTATGCATACAAGAGCTGGGGTGCAGGCCAGAGGTGTGGGGGGTGAGAGGACTCACCAGAGACAGAGTGGGGAACAGAACAGGCAGGGCCACTGACTCGTGCTGCAGAGGCCGCGGACAGCTTCACAGTGCAGACACTTTACTCCTGAGCCCCCAGGGAGGCCCTGGACCTTCTGCAGACACACAACTCTGTGTCCTGTCATCCCCACCACAGTCACTACAGAACTGTGCCGTCGTCCTCCCAGAGTTGCCTGTTGCCTGTGCCCCTGTGATCTGTTTCCACCTCTGACTCCGCCAGTCTGTGGGTTTGCCTTTTCCGGCGTGTCCTGTAAATGGAATCAGAACTGTGTAGCCCTTTGAGTTCTTCCTTCACTCAGCACGTTGCCCTTGACACTGGCCACCTGCAGGCGTGAGTTCCTCAGGGCGGAACAGAGCACCCTGAACTGCGTTACTTCAGCCACAGAACTGCATTCTCCTACAGCTCTGAGGCTGGACATCCAGAACCAGGCTGCAGGCAGGGCCTGCTGCCGAAGGCTCTAGGAGGAACCCTTCCTTCCTTGCCTCTCCCAGCCTCTGCTAGTTGCCGCCAGCCCTGGGGCCCTGTGGCTTGGGCCTCCATCTCTCCACTCTCCGCCTCCATGGCCGTGGCCTCTCCCCCGTTTGCATCTCTGCTTCCAGACTTCCCTCTCTCCATCATCGGTAGGACCCCTGTGAGCGCATCGTAGCAAACACTGCTTCCGGCAGGGTCACGTGCAGGTACTCGGGGTTAGAATTTGAGCCTGTCTTTTTGGAGGAGAGAGCTCAGCCCGGCCCGTTGTGTGTATCTGTGTGTCTTCCTTTTTGTCGCCCTCGTTTCTGCAGCCTTCAGACTGCGTTGTTTCGCCGAGGGCCTAAGGTGGTAGAGATGCCAGCCTCACGTGCAGTGTGAGCTTCTCCAGTAGCCGCGTCACAGGAAAAGAAACAGGAGCAATTAATTTTAATGTGATTTAAATAAAAAAATAATTTTTGTCGCTGAGCGGTTCCGTGGTGAGGAGGTGCTGTCATTTGTTCCTCCGTCCCCCTGGGGGAGGGGCAGGTGCCCCCCCCCCCCGTTGCTGTGAGTGAAGGTCCTCTCCACACACGCGTCCTGTTGCTGCGTGAGCACCTCGTCACGGCACTGCCGTGTCCCGTGCTTTGTGGGGGCTGAACTTCGAAACTGTTTTGCGAAGGAGTAGCTGCCCCCAGCAGTGTTGGGGTTCGGGTGACCGCACTCTCTCCAGCGCTCGGTATCTCAGTTTTTATTTAAATTGTGCCAAAAAACACAACATGAAGTTTACCCTCTTCGCTGCTCGTAGGAGTGCGGGTGGCCGGCGTCAGCGGTGCTGTGGACCCGCTCCCCGAGCTGCCCGCCTTGTGAAGCTGAGACCTGCGCCCCCTGCACAGCAGCCCTGCGCCCTGCTCCCCTGCCCTGGCGGCCTCTGCCTGCGCCTCTTTGAGTCAGCTGCTTTAGGCACTTCACTAAGAGTTCTGCTTGTGCTTCTGCGGCTGGCTTATTTCCCCCAGCCTAGTGTCCTCGAGACTCGTCGATGGTGTAGCTTGTGACAGGATTTGCTTCCTTTTTAAGGCCGAATAATACTCCATTGTCTGCACAGGCCACGTCTGTGTCCATTCATCCCGCGGACACTTGCTTTGCTTTCCTCTCCGGACGGTTGTGAGGAGCACTGCTGTGACCATGGGTGTGTAAATAGGCCTTCCAGAACCTGCTTTCTGTTCTTTTGGGGTACCAGAAGTGGACTGGCTGGGTCCTCTGATAACTCTGTTCTGTTTCCACACTGGCTGCCCTGTTTTACCTTCCTACCAGCGGGGTGCAAGGCTTCCCGTTTTCTGCGTTGCTGCCAGTTTGTTACTTTCCGTGTGGTTTATTTTTTCACACCCACCCAGTGGGTGTGAGCTGGCGATATTTCCATTTCAGAATTTTTGGTCACTCTGAAGCATTAGTTGTGGTCTCTCATTGTGGTGTTAATTCACATTTTCCTGATGAGTAGCGGTGTGTCTTTTCTTGTGCTTATTTGCCATTCTTACATCTTTGGTGACAAGTATGTTCAAATCTTTTACCCAGTTTTTAAATTGAGTTGTGGGAATTCTTTTTATATATTTTGGGTGCCATTTCTTTCTTTCTTTTTTTTTTTAAGATTTATTTATTTATGCATATAAGAGCTGGGGTGCAGGCCAGAAGTGGCGGGGGGGGGGGGGTGAGAGGATTCACCAGAGACAGAGCATGGACTAGAACAGGCAGACGACCGAAATACACTGCTGAGAGGAGCAGCGGGGAGACAGGAGAGTCTGCTGCGCCCTGTGGGTAGCTCCCTGGCCAGCCGGGGATCGAACTCGTGCTGCAGAGGCTGCAAATAGCTTCATAGTGTGGTGCTTAACCCCTTGTGCCACCAGGGAGGCCCCCTGGGTGCCATTTCTTTATCCGACATGTATGCACGAATGTCGTCCCCCGGTCTGTGGCTTGCCCTTTCGTTTTCATAACAAATTCTTGAAGCACAGATACCCTAAAATTTTGATCAAGTCCAACTTATTGGTCCAACTTATATGATTTGTGCCTTTTGTGTCTTATCCAAGAATTCTTTACTTAACTCAAGGTCACAAAGATTTTTTTACTGTGTGTTCTTTTAGAAGTTTTGTAGTTTTTAGGTTTTGCACTTAAGTGATTGCAAGTTAATTTTTTATGCAGTGCACGTTGGTTGAGGACTGCCTCGCTGTGTTGCACTGTGGAGAAGACTGTCCTTTGCCTGTCGCATCATTTG